AATGTGAATGGAGGCAAAAATAATCTTTGGTGGTGAATGACCGTAAATTAATCTGCTGGTGGCATTCCAGGTGTATGAAGTCACACTTCCACTGGGGGGAGGGCATAGTTCGTTCTTCCCACTTTCCCAAATCCTTCCAGTTTTCACTTGTGAATGTGCCAAAATGTCTTTACCTGATTTTAGTGGTCATGCCTGAGTTGGCTGCATAATTGCTGCATTAGCCTTGAAACCGCATTTTTCCTAAGCGGATTCCCAGATGTTTCAGTTGCTATGGTTGATATCAATTTTAAGAGAAAAATGCTAAGAGTCAAGCCTGGCTAACTGCCATGCTGGGTGAGATGAAAGCCCTCCTCCTTCCCCAAGTGTGGCCTGCCTGTGATGATGCATTAGGATTAGACGAAAGTCATTCTACACAGGATCAGAGGCACTGCAGTCTATGTGGGTATTTCATGGGATTCAGGAGGTGCGCCCACAGGCTGGGACTAAGCGTCAGTTCAGCCCCTGGATAAGAGGAAGCATGGAAGCTAGCTGGGAAATGAAAGACACTTGCTGGTTTGAAATGACTTTTGTTTCCTTTTCTAAATTTAGCTGCCAGGATTGATTTATGGACGAGATCTGCATGGGGTGGGGACTTTCTTTCCTCTTCTGCAGTATTCTGACTGGGGAATGCATATTTATCCATATGGGGGGGGGGAATGAGGGTGGTACCCAGGGGTCATTTCCTGCAGGAGCGCACAGGAGCGGAGCTCTGGCAGTAAGGAGCCCGGGGGGTGGGCACATGCAACAACCCCCCCCCCCCCCAATAGCTAGCAATCCAAAACAGTCCAGTGGAGCCTGAGCGGTGGGTGTTGCCTTCTGACACACTTCCGCTGATGCCAGGGTTTGTGGTATATGCAAATAAGTTATGCTAATAAGTTATGCTAATGAGCTCCTGCAACTCTTTTTCTACGAAATGACCCCTGGTGGTACCTATAGCGTTTCTGCAGTAGGAGTGAAAGCAGCTCAGGGCTACCCTTTTCCAACCACACAACAGCAAGAGAGGAAAGGGTTACAGTCTCCTCCTTCTCTCCCTGTGCTGTTCTCCTCTTTGATAATTGGAAGAAGGAAAGCCAGTTTGGTGTAGTGGTTAAGTGCGTGGACTCTAATCTGGGAGAACGGGGTTTGATTCCCCACTCCTCCACTTGCACCTGGCTGGATGACCCTGGGCAAGCCGTAGTTCTGATAAGAGCTGTTCTTGAAAAAGAGCAGTTTCTATCAGAGCTCTCGCAGTCCCACCTCCCTCACAGGGTGTCTGTTGTGGGGAGGGGAAGGGAAAGGAGTTTGTAAGCCGCTCTGAGATTCCTTTGGGTAGTAAAGGGCAGGGTATAAATCCAATCTCCTCTTCTTCTCCTTTTCTATAGTGTGGCTGAGCCCTGCATTAATTGCTATGCCCCCCCCATATGAACTGCTTGATTCCCCAGCTCCCATTCACAGGTGTAAAAGAGGCCCCATCTCTTTGCTTAAAATATTGACATCCTGCCTTTGCCCTTTACACACACTGTTCTCTTCTTCTCTCATACACACTATTATATAGTCAGACAAAATAAATAAAACTGCTCAAAAGCTGTCAACCAATGAGAGCCGAAGAAACAGCTAGCCGATAATAAAGTAAAGCAGAAAGGCCCTCAACCTGTCTGTCACTAAAAAAGAGCGTTGTAATAAAACTGTTTTAAATTGGTGCCAAGGGAATGTCTCTAGGAAAGCTACTATACAGACCGGGTGCCATTACTGAAACGGCTGTGCATATTTTTGTTTCAGGTTTTCCCCCCTCCTAAACATTCATTTCATTACATGCATCTAGGTGAAAACGTTCTTGGACTGTATTACTTCACACTACAAGCAGAGGTTCACATCTCCTTCCTGTTTTTTCTTTTAAAGATGTTCACGTTGTCTGTGTTTTCTGTTAAATTTCTATGTTCGTCCCATATGTGATTGCCACCTCCTTCAGTATGAAATGGTATGTTCCAGGAATGTCTTTACCACAAGATGAATTTTGTCTAGACTGGGCCTCCCTCCTCCTAAGGTGACACTATTGTTCAGCAAAGTAAAGCTGCTGAGCCAGAGCCCAGACTTTACATTCGCCACCACAGGGTTCCCATGGTGATTGCGTGTGTGCTATGTGGCACAGCTTCCTGTATTGTACCATCTTCAACTTCCCCCTGCCAAAGATCTTTGGTCTTCAGCCTCAGGAATGTGGGATGTCTGTCATCCCAGCCCTTGAAAAGAAAAGGCTGAGCCAGCCTTCCTGAGATATCTCCAGGGACCATAAGTATGGCCACCATGGCTGCAACCCCTCCTCTCTGGGCTGGAATTCTGAAATCAATACTGGCTCTTTCCCGTGCTAAATTTATTGATGGTGGTTAGGATTATTACCAATGCTGGGCATTGGAATTCCCAGGTACATCCTAATAAGAATGAATGGCTGTCCAAAGCTTATGACCCTCTCTGAACAGTAAAACTAACTGCGCTGCAATGTCTTGGGAATATAAGGTATGAAGAATAAAGCTTTGATTAGGCATAGTAGAAGAGTAATGCATAAAATAGTACGGTCTGTTAAGAAGTCAATGTCAGTCAGTTGACTTGCAAACTGAATATTGTTTTGGACAAATTGTAATTTATGTAATGATCAGGGGTCGTTTCATAGAAAAAGAGCTT